GGGACCTGGCCGAAAAATATTTTGAGGCGGCCCCTAGACTTTTTCATCAACATAGGCCTCCAACCCAAATTCAACTATTAAAAGCAATGCAAAGTACATTGCAACAAAATGTTTTCTTAGTTTGAATATGTTTTTCATGATTTGCTATTTATCAATTTTCTGCAATTTTTATTATTTGTCATAAACAATAATTTATTATTTTTACACACTACTTCCTTTGGTTTATTCATCAGCACTAAAAAACCGCTATACAAACTTTCTAATAAAAAAAACTGTTGTATAAAAAATGTCATATACTGTACAGAAATACAATGATATAAATAACACATCATAGTTTTATTTTTTATTACAAATAAACTTTTTTCTTCAATATAACATAACATGTCAATAATAGTTTTGAGTAATAAACACTTATATCGGGCAACGACGAATCTTTTCTACGGCAAAAGAATCTATTACATCATCAAACTAAATTGTTCTAACAATATCGCTTTCAGCTGCAATTGTAGATAACGATGACAACCGCGTTTGACCCATTGTTGATTTTAGGTTACTTTTAATTCGTGACATAATTGAGAATGGCCTCTCCCCTTCACGGTTGGTGCACATGAGGCACAGATAAATGCGTATAGCAATTTCGACGTTGTGGAATGTTGATTGGAGGCCATGTTTTGTAATGACATCTAAAAACTGAAGATGTGACGAACTAGATTTTTACAGAAGTGAATAAATTGCAAAACTTCGTTTTGAACTGTTTTTTCAAAGTCGTCCTTAAAATGACTGACAAATTCTTTCTTTTTTTAAAAAATAACTGTTGTGTCTGGAAGTGCCGGCTCAAGGTATTTTGGCCGCACGAGACAAGATCCCAGTTCGACGCCGTAACTAAAAAGCACCAATCTATTAAAAAAATACCTTAAAGTAAAACTAAGAGTGACGTACAAAATCGTATGTTTGCTAAACATTAAATCCAAACAGTACAAACTCAAAAAGCAAGCAAGATACATACAAAATGGGCATATTTTACCATGACTTAGTGAAAGAAGTTTACTATCCTACTTTTTTCAGATTCAAAAGCCTTTCAATAATTCAGTAAAATCTAATCTAATTTTTTAGCATTATCACTTTCTATGGAAATTAAAGAAAGACCTGTCAAACGATTTTGTGACAGTAGATCTTAAGTAATTTTTATTTAATTTCAGTTTTAATAAACTACGCTCTTGAGATGCAACTGATGCTGGCTGTGTTAAAAGAATTCGTAAAGCAATAGAAATATTTGGAGTGAAATTATTGTTTCTTAAAATAAGCTTTAGTATTTTTATTGGTGACATTTTTGGTTTAATCGATTCAGACAATGCAAGCAATTCATCTAATGATTCCATGCAATCAATATCTGCAGAGGTATCTGTGTAAGCACAGATTTTTGAAGATTTAAATATTTTTTCCAAAACTTTCCTTAGAAAAATCTTTTTTAATATTTGCAATATCGTATAGGAATTGAAAAGCATCATAGTGTTCATTTAACTGGTTAAATCTTTTTCAATCGAATGTGTAGCACTATCCAAAATGCAATTAAAACATTCTATTTTAAGCCTCTACTTTGGATTTATAATGGGATCATCTCGAGTTTCATAAAAAAACATTTGTTTTTTAAACCTTGGTCTAATAGAAACTTCCAATGCAAAGGATGGCTCCAAATCTAATTCAGCTGCAATTAATTCTGCATCAGAAATAGCTTTTTCAAAAGCTTCTTCATCTGAGTGATATAACTTTAAGAAGTTAACAGTTTTGTTCAAAATTTGTTTGGCTTCAAAAATGTCAATTTCAATATTCTGAATAACCTTGCTTGCTAAGTTTACTTGGTTCAAAATACTGAATTATGCATAGTACAACAACAAAATTTAAAGTTGTTCATCATTTGAGTTAATATCTCTGCTTCGTGACGTGAAGATGAATCATAAGAAATGTCATGGCTGATTTCAAAAAGAGCATCAAAGATTTCTCCATCAAAGGTTTTGGAAAAATTTTTTTCCAAGACAATTTTTAAATACTGTCCATCTACGAGATGATCCTTTAAGAAAGTTATAAATGGCTAGCACCATTCCAAAATAAGCCACAGCCTTTCTAGATGATTTTGCAGCATCATTAACGACCAAATTTAATGAATGAGCATGACAGTTCAGAAAAGGGTCTGCTATCCTTTTCCAATATTTTTTTCTGCACTCCTGACTGATGTCTTCTCATATTCGCACCGTTGTTGTAGCTCTGTCCACGCAAATGAACCTGCCGCAAGTGGTAGACGCGGTCGTCTGATCATGTTCAAACTTCACAGAATTACTTATTAGATTTGTCTGCCATATTGATCTAAAAAAATAATTAAATTACGTTAATTTCTTGGTGGTGACCGAGGAGGCTAGGGAAGTGCCGCCCGAAGCAACCGCTTTCTTGACTGAGCCTAAAGCCGGCACTGGTATCTGGACAGGTTATATCAGTCAAGAATCCGTACTAGAGGTGAGCGGGAATTGAAATTTGTTCCCAATTTCCTCACTTTTTTGTCATTCCCGATTCTTTCCCGAACTCCCATTTATGACAACGTTCTCAAAAATTCCCACTTCCCATTTTTTCCACTCATTCCCGCGTTTCCCCTTCCATTTCCCTTTTTTCCCATTTTGCAAATTTTTGAACACCAAAACAAATTTCTAAAAAATGCAAATATTAAGAACGTGTTTTTAGTAACACACAAAATAAAAATTCAAAGACTCTAAAGAATATTAAGACAACATAATAAATTACAATTATAATAATTAAAATAAATTTATGCATGTTTATAATATTTATACTATATGAATTTCTAATGACCATAAGCGTGCCTTTGTGTGTGTATGTGTCTACCACATGTTTGCATACATATTTTTTATATAAAATTTCTTTAAGGCTCTACTATCTTCCTTTTTTCATCTGTTCACGCACACGTGTGTATGTATGTGAATGTGTATGTTTGGATCATATATATATATATATATATATATATATATATACATATATATAAATATATATATATATCACTTGAAATTTCAACTTCAACTTTGACGCTCCACCCATCAAAGGTCCGATTCCAGGCATCACTGTAGATGAACTTACAAAAGCTCTGAAAGCTATGAAGGATGGAAAGGCAACAGGGCCCTCTGGACCCACAAATGACATCAAAGCATCTGGTACTGCAGGTATCTAAACGTTACTACAACTTTGTCGTGAAATCTGCAGAAATTGCTCAATGCCGATTGAATGGAACTATAGCATGAATGTTCCGCTATACAAAGGCAAAGGTGATCCATTGAATTGTTCATCATATCGGGGTATACGTCTGTTAGAACACTCCCTGAAAATTGATGATAAAATCGTTGAGAGAAGATTAACGTCGTGCATCACAATCGGAAATTATCAATTTGGTTTCCTAGCGGGCAAATCATCAATTGATGCAATTCACATCCTTCGGCAACTGCAAGAGAAGTACCTCGCAAAGCATTAACAACTATCACACATTTTTGTAGACCTTGAAAAAGCATTTGATCGAGTTCCCCGTGAAGCAATCAGGTGAAGTCTACGTCGACAACTCATTCCAGAATATCTTGTTCGACTTGTGATGGAAATGTATACGAATACTAAGACTTTTGTCAGCACAACGGTTGGAAACACAGATGCATTTGACATCGGCGTTGGAGTTTACCAAGGCTCGATTCTCAGTCCATTGTTATTTACAACTGTGATGGAAGAAATCACTAAGCCGATACGCACTGGTGACATTTGGAATCTAATATATGCTGATGATATCGTTTTAACAGCCACGTCTGAACAGAATGCAGCACAGATGTTTGAAGATTGGAACACCAGACTCGCCGATCATGGATTCAAAGTCAACATCAGCAAAACCAAAGCAATGAACACGGGTGAACCCATCCAATCCACAGCTACTGGACGATGGCTTTGTTCAGTTTGTAAAGCTGGTGTAGGTAACAATTCAATCAAGTGTCAGCAGTGTAACCAGTGGTATCACAAACGTTGTTCAAAAATAATTGGTAATTTATCTAAAATGTCTGATTTTGTTTGTCCTGCTTGCACCAATCCACAGCAACAAATTTAAAATAGTAATGTTTTTGAAGCCATTAAGATAGAGAAAGTCACATTGTTTCAATATCTAGGAGGTGTTCTGGATTGTGCTGGAACAGCTGAAGCTGCCGTTCGAGCACGCATACGTGCTGCCTGAGATAAATGGCATCTCCTTTTCTCTATATTGATGCGGCGTGACATCCCACTACCACTACGATCAAGACTTTATAAATCTGTGATACGTCCGGTGTTGTTATATGGTGCAGAGACATGGCCAATGACAACCAAACTGGAACAACAACTTCAACGAACCGATATGAAAATGCTCCGATGGATGCAACGAATTAGTCTGAAGGACCACATCAAAACTACCGAAATCCTGCATCGTGCTGGTTTAGATGATATAAAAGACGAATGCCGGCAACACTGTCTGCGGTGGTTTGGTCATGTCAAACGAAGTGAAAACAGGGCCATAACTTTTCTTGCAGATGTTGAAGTACCTGACACGCATCCCAAAGGCCGTCCGAATTTTAACAGATTGTCTCCACACAGTTAGACAACCAATCGCAAGCCAGTACAGAAGTCCTGATCGCAAACAATCGAGCAAGACATGAAAACTCTAAATTTAAATGAAATGGATACAACTGGTCGTCTAATTTGGCGCCAGAAGTTGATGGCAAAGAAAACAACGTCCTACCTTGGAGGAACTGGGTCTCTGGACGCTAAACGAAGATAGATTGATTGATTGAAATTTTTTCTGGCTCGATTGTTTGCACGTGGTTAACGCACACCTGCATAGATAACTGACATTTTGATCAAAATTTTTTTAATTTTGGCATGTATATGTTGTTTTTTCCATTCCAGTTCATCATTCCCTATTCCCGAACAGTTATTCCCTAAAATAAACATTCCCGAAAATTTGTTTTTACCAATTTCCACGGGAATTTCATGGAAACCTTGGGATTTTCGCAATTCCCGTTTCCATGCTCACTTCTAATCCGTGCCTGTCTTGAAGTGAAACATACGATGTGGCTCGACTTTTTAACTCAACAACAGGTGTTGATTTCAAATTCACGACTACCTGAGAGCTACTGCAGCTGATTTACTGTCGTCGTGAAAAGATACCAATGAACATTTTCTTCGTGTATCTGCGCAATAGCAATCATTTTCAACCATCGTTTTGGCACCTTGTTCATAATGTTGAAATCTGCCGCGCATGTCTTTGAAAAACGACGTTAGTGACAAGTACGACTGGACAACGATATCTAGTTTTATTACAGGAGTCTGACATGTCCTGCTGATCTTGTGAAAGTAGACAATTATGTCCCCCCATCGTAAAGACATATTGTCAGTTTCCCGTTCTTGCATCTTTTTGTTGTATGATTTGGCTTCATGTCGTTTTGACGGCATTTCGGACATATCGGAAGCAATTTGACTAAGTGTATCCCGAATTATTTTGTGGCTCGCTGCAAAAGCGTGACAGGCATCATAGTGGGAGGACCATCTTGTATCAGCTGCTCTTTTCAAAACGACTGCGCCTGTCGTTAAATTACTTATCATCTTTGTCCATTGACCAGTAGAGGCTGAACAAAATGTGTATATACTTTGTATTAATCCAAAAAAGGATACAGCCTGGGGACAACATTCTGCAGCGCGTGACGCTTCAAGCTTCAACAAATGGGCAGCACAAGGAACCCACTCAACTAAGTTGTTGACTTGTTTAATTCTCGCTTGCAGTCCAGAGTATTGATCCGACATATTACTGGCTTTGACCACGGCAATTTTGAATATCGATATGACTTTTCCTGAGGGTGGACAAAATCGTCTTCATTATTATGAGATTCGATGAGGATGAATGTGAGGAAGCGCTCAATAAGAAGATGATCTTTTGAAGATACATAACGGATGATGAAAGTAAGTTGATCAGTATGATTCACGTCAGGTTTAAAATCGAAACAAATTGAAAAATATTTAGCTGCTTGAATTTCTTCCAAAATAACAGAAAGCACTTTTTCCCATGCAAATTATAAACTCCTCGCAAGTTGTTGGTTACAGATAATTTACATCCTCGTCCTTTATTTTCCAAATCTTGTCATATGTTTCTTAGAAAAGAATCGAATTTTGCTAAAAAGCAGACTACTGCAGCCACGTCGATTCCAAAGGATGGATGCACTCGGTACAATCTTGGTTTTCATCATCCGTTTTAGACTGAGACTGGGAAGATAAAATTATATTGTTAGGATATGATATGTCAGTATAAGAACAGAAAAAGTTAAAGCCGACGGTAAACTAATGTTAACCTGAGATGACTGCATATTTAATGATTTAATCTTTTTTAATCTTTTTTATCACACTGATCCAACACTTTTTTATCATCAAAAGTAGTGACATGAAAAAAATCGCTAAATTTTTGACATTTTCCAATAACATTCTTAATTTCTATTTCTTTATTTGTGCAGGCCTTCCTCTTTTGAGCACCTCTGGCGTTTGGGGTCGCCATATTTTTCACGCTTTTAAATTTGAACAAGAATAAATTTTAACTAGCATCTGTTTACAAAATTTAAACCAAAGAACTTGAAAAAAAGATAAACTTTTATTATTTGTTCTCAACCGTTTCTAATTTAATTATTTTTTAAAATGGTCAAAAAATGCCACATTTTTATTGCATCAATAAGCAATAATGCTTTAATAAAAATGCTTTAATAATTGAACAAAATTATTATGAAGTGTCGAAAACAAACTAATTTTTAAAAATAACCAAATATTTTTTGGAAAGCAAATATGGAAAAAAAACGTTCCTATTTTGTGATAAAATTAAAAACGAACATTGAAATAAGTTGTCACGGGCAACTATTTAAATGGCGCATTTTTACTGGCATACATTTAAATTTTATGCAATTGTCGGGCCAAAACTGTATTTATAATTAAATCAAATTCATCTATTCATAAATATGGCAAAAGAATGTGGTAAAAAGGGCTTGTACCGTTTCTGGATGCATAAAAGCTAAATTCGGTAAAGTAATTTTAGAGACCGTAAAAGTACTTGAAAGATTAATGATCTTTTACATGATATCCGTGGTGAAAAGCCTCCTATTAAAAAAGACTTATAAGGACCAAAGATACTTGGATTTGAAGTTCGTGCCGCTCTTTCCAATATGAAGAAATTAAATGCCTTGATGAATTTGGCATTGAAAAAATGACTGAAATTTTGAATGATATTTATAACAGCGGCGAAATTCCTGAAAATCTATCCAAGTCAATATTTATTGCATTGCCTAAAAAACCTAATGCAACAGAATGTTAACTACACTGAACAATCAGCTTGATAAGTCATCTTACATAACTTCTCTTAAGTATTATGATGATGAACACAAAGCAAAATCAGATCTGAAATTTCAAATGTCTAATGTGGTTTTGTAAAGGATTGTGCTATGAATGATCAGTGAACAAACGACTGAAATGAGGAAAGTATGTTTTGTCGATTACTCCAAAACTTTTGATAGCGTGAAACACGTGGAGCCCATGGAAATATTGGAAAATTTGGACATTGATGGAAAAGACACGAGAGTTTTAAAAAAACGTTGTTTTAAAAAAAACCTCTATTGGAAAAAAAGAGCTGTGATGAAAGTTTGTAAAAAGATGACTAGTTTTGTCGAAAAAAAAGAAAGGTGTTAGACAAGGTTGTGAATTCTCTTCAGATCAGTACAATCTCTATAGTGAGATCATCATGAGAAAAATAGAAGATCTACCTGGAATATCCATTGGAGGCGTGAATATTAACAATGTAAGATATGCTTACGATACAGCTCTTATAGCAGGTTCAATGGTAAAACTGCAAACAGGTGTTTCTAAACCGGTTTTTGGTTTTTGAAAGTGAAAGGAAAGGCTTGCAAATTAACATCAACAAAACAGAGTGCATGGTTGTCAGTAAAAGCAAAACCGCCCCGATCTGCTCCATAATCATTAATGGTAAGCAGGTGAAACAAGTCAACAGCTTCAATTATCTTGGAAGTCTGATAACCTCAGGTTGTAAATGTGATATGGATATCAAAAGAAGGCGATAAAGATATGGCGAAAAATGCATATTCTAAAATGAAAAACATCCTCACCAACAATAAAATCAGAATATCAACAAAATTAAAACTGTTATGGTCTTAAATTTTTCCTGTGCTAACTTACGGCTTTTAGTCCTAGACAATTTCTAAAGAAATGGAAAAAAGATTAAAGCTGCTGTGATGTGGTTTTTGAGAAGAATTATGAAAATTAGTTGGACCTCTCATACTTCGAATGAGGATATATTAAAACAGTCCGATTATGAAAAGAGGAAATTATTACAAATAATCTGACGGGGGCAGTTAAAGTTTTTTGGTCACATCATGCAGAAGCAAAGAATGAAAAATCTAACATCTACTTGAAAGATTGCAGAGAAAAGAGATCGCTGTAAACAATGAATAACATTCGTGAAGTCCTTGTGTCATTTGTTGAATATCACCACATTTCAACTCTTACAAGTGTTAAAGATCGGGTTTTGTGGCGGTCGATGGTCGCCAATGTCCTAGAACTATAAGGCACGAGAAAGATGAAAGAAAAAGGTAAAACTTGTAAAAGTCCACGAGAGGAGGCCTGGTTTTGGGCCATGTTGCCCTTGTATTAATCCGGCGCTGCGATAAAGCAATACCAGTATGGCAATATTTTTATTAATTGTTAACTTATATAATAATTCTGGGTTTAGAACCTGAAAAATGACCTTTATGTTATAACTTTCAGAAACATTGTTACAGTTATCTTAAACATTATCTGATCAATATATTTTAAAATTTATTGAAAGAAATATGAGTTTACCGATAGTGATCAAGTTGTCATTTAAACTGACAAGCTTAAACACACAACGCATTCTATTCAGCATGTTTTTGTAAAAAAAAATTAATTTTTATAATTTATATGGTTTTATCATATTTGTTGTACAAATTAATTTATATTCATTTGTTATAATTATTATTGACAGACAGAAGTTTCGACATTCATCCCATCTGATTCAAACTGCTTTGCATGGCGTACAAATATTCCTTAGTTATTGTCTTATGCTAATCTTCATGACTTACAACATTTGGTTGTGCACGTCTGTCGTTGTCGGCGCCATTTTTGGTTATTTTTTATTTTCATGGAAAAGACATAAATGTAGCAACTGTGTTCCTACAGCTAATATTACCACAAGTGATCACTGCCATTGAATATACGATTTAAACTTTCGAAAAGATAAATACGTTCTTCAATTTTTATGTTTTTTTATTAGTTAACGAATTGTTCTTGTTTCCAGTTGAGTAATTGCGTTTTAATTAATTTCGTGTTTTCATAGTTTGTTGATTCGAAGCAGAAGCACGTAACATAACAAATAAAAAGCGCAAAATATCAGAAAGTGTTGAATGTAGCAATAAACACTTGCTTAGCGATTAACGAAACGTTTACGTTCCTGATAACATCTCGTAATCATTAGCAGCCTTTGAAAACTATGTTTGTGAGGAAGTATGCCAGAGTTACTTTGTTTGTTAGATTCTTTTGATAACTTTATATATATTTAACATCTGCATAGAGCATTGTGTAAGTGAAAGCACATTTACTGCACATGCAAACAGCACAGCATATAGGTGCATAGTTAAAATTAAACCGTAATCCATATTTTATAACATTTTAAGTTTAATTCAATTTGTTCAGTTTTCTTTGTTTATTTCCACAACGGTCTATTGAAATTTATGTACGAGCGGCGTTATGGCTAAATGGTTAAAGGACAGGCGGATTTAAGAATTTGCCGCCCTTGGCTATCTTTCTTTTTTCCCTGGGCTGTAGGCCTCGTGTCCCAATCAGGCCTGAAGAAATACTTAAAGCAGTGAAACTTTGTAGTCCAATTTCTCGACGAGGTCAGATGATTGAAGTTTTATCGTGGTCTCAACAAAAATGAACTTTTGTCATAAAAACTTTTTAATAAATTGTTTTTTACTTGTAATCGTTTTACAGTAGTAAATTTTAACATTTTTCCCTTGAAAACTCAAATTTTCCGGTTCCGAGTAGGTACTTGATTTCAAATTTCCTGAGTCTGGATCGGAGTAAGACTCCGATCCAGACTCAGGAATTCAGACTTATTTTTAATCAAAGCTTATTCTCCACAGACACTTGTAACTCATTACACAGAAGTCAAGTGATTAAGCAAAGGTAAGGTATTTTGAGACTAATGGACCTAAGAGCTGAGGTGTCTTCATTTTTGCAAAAAAAAGAAAAGAGTTTATCAGGTGATTTTGAGAAGACAGATTTCATAATTAATATTGCATATTTAGCTGATATGTTCACAATTTTAAACGATTTTAATCTTTGTTTGGAAGGACAAAAAAATGACATGGTCCTGACAAAAGTATTTGTCGGGACCATGTCTTTCTATATTTTTCTATAAAAGTATTTCTATGTTTGAGATACTCTCAAACATAGAAATGTATGAGAGTATCTCTTTTTAGTACTGAACTTCGGTTTCATCTTTTCTGCGATGGCAAACAGCAGCAATCATCTCTTTTTTATGTAATATATTTAACAACCAAGCATAACCCTAATTAATATAAACAATGCAATGTAATAATGTGAATAAAATTAACTCTGAATAAAAATTGTTATAATAAATTGATTTTTTTTCAATTATTGACGACGGGGTTAGGGGAGGCCAAGTTACCATTAATTCTTTTTTAGGTAGGCCAACACTGAAAAAGGTTGGGAAACACTGATATGGAGGATATGGTTGTCATAGCATAGTACGTTGATATTTTTTTTACAATCATAACCATCATCGATGTCGCAATAAAAATCAATAATCTGTCGGCATTTTTTTTCGTTGTTTTGTTAGAATCATAATCATTGTCAGTCTCGTGGCCGAGCGGTTAACGTGTCCGTCTACTACTCCCACGACCTGGGTTCGAATCCAGCAGGTTCATCCGGATAGCCGACTCCCGGCCAACTCAGTCGACTATCTTTCCGAGGTCGGTAAATGGGGAAACGACTTAAGTTGTCGCATGTTTAACCGGTGAGATGGCTTAGTAGTTCAAATACGCGCTGAGTCAAACATCTCGACGGCTATCGTATACTTAGCGTAGCCTATATGATGCGGTGTTTAAATATATGCGTACGTCGTGTGAAAAAGATAGCCTTTGTGGCGAAGATGGCTGCTTCAAATGGATGAAGATATGAAAAATATAATAAAGATATAAAGATAATTTATATGTAACATTGCAAGTGGTTCTGCATATGTCAAAGCTGCAATAATAAAGACTAAAAAAATATCGATATCACAAACTGACTAATACTTCGGCATACCAAATTTTTCTTTGATGTGTTTCATTAATATTATTATTATGAAAAAAACATGGGCGAAGACAAAATGTCCCTATGCTCGCGACATAAAATTAACTATAAAATTTTAACATAAACAATGTACATGAATATATGTTAATATGTTCTGTTCATACATAAAGATAAAATAAAAATATAAACAAAAATATAAGAGAAAAATTTCTATTATTAATTCAACTACCTATATTTTATATATATGTATGCAAACATTTCTTCATAAAAATTCCAATTTCAACCAATCATATATATTGTTCTCTCTTAAAGACAATCATGTCAAAACAAACATTTACACTATCATCCAAAATCTATAAATACGAATAGTCATCCTTCAACTCTGCTCTCCAATCGTATTTAAATTAAGAAAATCATCCAACTTTTTTTTACACTCATTCAAATCACCGCAATTAGCAACATCATCTTTCAAATTATTCCAAATATTAATAGTTCTATTAACAAAATAATTTTTTATCAAGTTTGTATGGAATGTCAGTGCTGTTAGCCTCATCTCATGTCCTCTTGTTCGCAGTGGCGGATCTAGAAAAATTTGACGGGGGGAGGGCCAAAATTTTTTAGATGTTTAAAAGTTTAAATTTTTTTCAAATTTGGACAGGGGGCCAAAATTGTTGGTAGCGTGGCCAAAATTAGGCTGGCGACCTTTTTTGATATAAAATGGCGTTTTTTATGCAAAAGCTGAGTTCTTTTAATAAATATACTGCTCACAACTGGGTGATGGTCTCTCCGGCCTTACCCCAAGATCCGCCACTGAATGTATATGTATAATACTGATACATATACATTCAGTGGCGGATCTTGTATATTCAGTACTGTATTTTAATAGCGCTCTGAAATTCCCCTGATTGTTATCAGATTTGAGATCTTGTTATCAGATTTGAGATCTAATGCACCGTAATCCCGGTGTCTACCCAAAGCAAAATTTTGTCTTCCACAAAGTTTAATAGTTTCAATAATAGTGTTAAGCAATTTTCTATTTTGTGGAAAGAGCGGAGTTTGATAACTCTAAAACAATAGTTTTATTTTTAATCAAACTCAGAAACATTTCTGATTTTTCTGTAGCCTCTCTATGAAAAGATGTCGCTTGATGACAGCGACATTGATCTAAAGCTGATTTATAACGACTTAAAGGTGATATAACAAATACTCCGACTAAACTACATGATGGATGTCGATTTGCATTAAGTACACAAAACCTACAGAATGCTCCTTTTTTTAAATCAGAATAAGACAGCCAGGAAAATTCTTGAAACCAATGGAATTTAAAAAACCGTTTTCTTTTACCTTCCAATACAAATGGAAATTTATAATTCTCGTCAGAAGAATTTTCAAAAGATCATATTATCTTAAATTATTCGAAAGACTTGTATTTCTACAGTTGCATATTGTCCAATATCTAAAGGTATCGTTTCTTTTGAAAAACTCTGACATGAATTACCAGTTTTGTCTGAAACATCAGTCATGTCATCGTTTAAATTTAATGAAAGGCCTTCTTCCATGACATCAGATTCTATAATTGTAAAAAAAAAACGTTGAGATTAAATTTTTTAATTTTCCTACCAGACCTGAATAGTTAAATACTACAAAATTAATTCAAGTCTAGTCGGGTAATGACTGGTACGCATTAACCCTAACCCAAAAAATGTTTTTGTTATTCAGCTTATTGCTAATTTTTTTAGTTGAAAATACAAAATTATTTCATATGCAATTATTGAAATATCTAGGTATTACCATTAACAGCCTTAACTGTATTAAGATCATCGCATTGCTTCTGTTTTTTTGCCGGACTCGGTTGAAAAAATTATAAAATACTACTTTTTTAAAAGAAATATACTAAGAAAACATGAATTGTTTTTATTTTGTGCAGCAAAGCACTATTTAAGTTTAAAATATGAATTATATTCTTAAATAAACTTGTATCAAATTTATATAATAAATCAGCGTTATTTTTTATTGTTAAAAAAAGTCGATCTCAAAATATTTTTTATTATTTAACGCTGTTTTGATTTAAACTGGTGATAACGGGGGAGCCATGGCCCCCCGGCCTCCCACTAAATTCGCCAGTGCTTGTTCGTTTGGTGGCTCTCAATATTTCTGGCAAGCTTCGTTGATCCTTTTCATTCAACATGTTAAACATTGTTATCAAATCACCTCTTATTCGTCTGTATTTTAGTGTTGGCAATTGTAAAAATCTTAATCGGTCCTCATATTTCATTCCCTCACAGTCCTTGATCATCTTTGTTGCCCTTTTCTGAACCATTTCGATTGCTTCTGTTTCACGTATTGTCCATGGTGACCACACACTTGCTGCGTACTCAAGCTGAGATCTAACCAAAATTTATATAATAACATAAAAACATTTTTATCAATATCTTTAAAATTTCTGTTTATTAAACCCAACAATGAAAATGCCTTCTTAACATTGCAATGTATATGCTCAATAAATTTCAAAGTTGTATCAAAAATAACACCCAAGTCTTTGATTTTATCAACAAAAAGTAATGGGTGCGAGCTTTTTTTATAATCATAATTATTATCTGATACAGAACAACCAAACATCATCACAACACATTTTTCTTTATTCAATTTCACATCATTCTGCACACACCACCCATTCAAATCATTCAAACCCTTCTGCAATACCACACTATCCCTATCTGAGTTCATAATTTTAAATAACTTTGCGTCATCTGCATACATATACATCGCAACCCCACCTACATCCTGAAACAAATCAAATAAATCATTAACATACATTAAAAACAAAATTGGCCCAAGCACACTACCCTGTGGAGCTCCACTCTTTACCTCACAATATCTTGACATACCATCATGCACTCTCACACGAAATGTTCTTCCATTCAAATAATTATAAACCCAAGCAACCAATTTGTCATTCAACCCACATTTGTTCTTCTTAACCAATAATTTATTATGTGACACTCTATCAAATGCCTTTTCAAAATCAATATATATTGCATTAATCCCATAACCTTTATCCACAGCTCTAGACCATTCATCCATCAATTTTAACAACTGCAGAACAGTTGATTTTCCCTTGACAAACCCAAACTGTTTTGTATTCAGCAAACCACTTTCAATCAAATGTGACATCAAAGCATCCTTTATTATAGACTCCATCAATTTACATGTTATGCATGTCAGTGCAACTGGTCTATAATTGTTAGCTTCCTTCTTATCTCCTTTTTTTATAAATGGCTGTAACAATGCTTTCTTTCCATCATTAGGTATGACTCCCCATTCAAAAGACCTATTAAATAATGAACTTAAGTTATCATAAATAGATTCTTTACATTCAAACAATATTAGAATCACAATCATTAGAATCACAATCATCACTGACTTCGTTATGAAGTTAAAAAGTAATGGTTTTATCGATGCATTTGTTTTAGAAACTTTAAAGAAATGTTTATTTTTGTGTGCTTTAAATTTTTTAATTTATTTTTGAATTGCTGTTTCAGTGTTTCACTACTTTTTCTTGGTTAAGCAAAAAGTGAGACAAATCCGCGGTCACCGAAGCGAGACGCAGGAGGAAAATTCGGGATTTTCTCGCTCCCACCCAATTCGGGGTGATTGGCAACTATGAATTCTTTACGCTTCAAATCATTTTAAATATAAACAATACATCGAACTAACACCTAGATATGAACGCCCAACGAGGACACATCATAATTTGAGCATGGTAGGCCGTGCATTAAGCTATCGCTTTGTTAATGATGGACCTTTGCTTAAGTATCATTGTTTATTTGTGTTGCACGTTGTTTTATAAAGCTGTTGAGTTTTGATCATCGTAAATTTATTGAAATTTTTGTATTGTTAATTATTAACTTTTTTTTAAATAATTTTACTTTGTACTTAGTATTTTGTTCGTGATAATATTAAAATGGTGAATAAATGCTCAGCTTTCGGATGTAAAGTTGGATACAAATCAAATACAGCAAATGACGAGAAAAAGGACACATCGTTTCATGCCTATCTATTAAAAAATCCGGATTTGTGCGCTAGATGGGTACGTGGTAATCTTCCTAAAGATTATGTTTCATACAAATATTCTGAAATTTTTTCACTTCACTTTGATCAGTCAAATTTTGCAATATGTTTTAATAATGGGGCCGACAGTTCTGTTCACTAGCAAAGTGGAGTTTGCTAGCACCGTTATGGAGAGGCAAAGAAGAAAGTTGAAAAAGATGCAGTACCATCAAAATTTCAGAATGCACCTTCATTTTTGTCCACTTCAACACAAAAATCTCGATCGACAAAATCTTCATCAGTTACTCGCTGCTTGTTAGATATGGAAGGGGCAAAAAAGCAGCTGAAGAGTTACCTAGAAACAGATTTTCTAAATAATTGTGGATTGAATGACCTAAAACAACGTATACCTGAAAAATGCACCTTCCTTTCAGAATTTGAATTAATGAATTTTTTTGATTATATACAAAATTGAAATTATATATAATTGTCCACCTATTCAATGCGAATCAGTGAAAATTATGAATTGACATTGCATCATAAGGGTAAAACTTTCTCAATCATTCATGAAAAGCACTATTGAAAATCATTTAACAGGGATTAGTCAAATATTAAATGTCCTCGATTGTCTAAATATATCGTTGTAACCTAGACGTTCGTAACTACCAACACCAATGTTATAATTTTAAAGATCTTTATTTCCAACACTAGTGCTGTAGCTTCCACGATCGTCAAGTGTTCACTATTTTTTAATTCAAGAATTCCGATAGATGAAAACAGCTGCTTCAAACGCAAACTTTATTGAACGTTTATTTGAATTCCAACAGTAATAAAAAACACTAAACTAATCCAAGTAGCTACATAAATCACAATAATAACAACTTCACATCAAACCTTCGCTAGAAATCTAACTGACAACCTGTTTCTTCGCAGGATCTTATATAGGCACCAAAGTGGATTTTAACGATAAAAAGATTACAAATATTTTTTACGATCCTCTATCCAAAGATTACAAATATATCAAAGATAACAGTAATTAAGATAACAAACAATATAGCTCAATTTGATCATTTCGGCAGTTATAACTGAAACTTGTATAGAAACAAATTTTAAACTACAAAAAAGTATTACTAAACATAAACTAAAAACATGTTTAAATATTTTGATGAGAGTGATGATGAATATTCTCAATTGAAATTTGTTATGGATCAAATAAAATTAATTGGTCTTAGCAAACAAGAGTGAAACTATTTTTCACAATTATTATTGTGAGCTTATTTAATTTACTCTTCAGCATATAAAAAATTTAATTGAAAGTAAAGCATTGTGTTTGACATCAATAAGAACTTTGATAAAAGTTATTAGAGGACTTAATGTTAACTGTGGACTGGACAATGTAACTCTTCGAAATATTTTCTCAATCGGTTACAAAGAACTTCTCTTTTAATAATTGAAGAAGTGTATGTTGATGACGTTAGTTTTGACAAAGACAATGTAAAAATTAACAGCTGTTCAGAACTTTCAAAAGAATTGTCAAATCTTGAATTGCCAGATGTCAATGAGGCCAGTAATATATATTATGTAGCAGGTGCAGTAGTGAAAAGTATACTCAGTACGAATAGACTGCTTGTCTGTCTGGCTGCTGGGAAATTTTTCAAATTATAAAAAAGTCAGAAACCGCTATGAAATGATCTGTGAAAGTTTTTTCAATTGCATGTGTAAAAATTTTTTTAATATTAAGGACAGTTTTAATATTAAAAGTAAGTAACATAAACAACAAATTAAAAAAAGTTGAAAAGCAAAAAAAATTTCATTTTATATTCATTTGTTTCATGAATTTTAGCAAAGTGGTTAAGGTGAAAGTTTTGTTTATTACAACATTCTTGAATTGTAATAAAATAAATGGTGTGTGCATTATTTGAAAAGATTTACACCAGGGGCGTCATTTCAGATTTTGGTTGGGGGGGCGAACTTATGTGGTCTATGACTTAGCATGTAACATATATATATATATATATATATATATATATATATATATATATCAGTAAATTTCGGTAACAAATTTTCATTTAAGCATATTTCATTAAACGTGATGCTTATATTATTGTTATTTAATTTTTTATTAAGATTTTCTATTTTTCTTATTAGTTTTTTATAATTATAATTTAAATTAAAAATTAGAACACCAATATTCATTATTTAATTATTTATTAAGCGACGTTTCGAATTTTATAATTCATCTTCAGGCAATTTAATATTAATTCAAATAAAACATAACAATAAACTGTCAGATGACGTAATAAGAGTTGAGCGCGAAAGTAACGTAACGATTAAAGTTAAATAACGTAAGTTGTTAAATTAAGTATAATAAACAATTATTTTGTAATATAACATAATAAAATATATTATATGTGCAATATCATGTTAATAATAATAATAATAAATTAAACATTTCGTGATGAAGGTAAAATAAAATTGGAATAAATTTGTTTGTTCAAATTAGGTTTATAAATATTAATAAATAGGGATTCTAAAATTTGTAGTCTGTTAAAATTAGTGTCTTTCATTAATATTTTAGTATTATCTTCTAATATTTTGCGAGATAATTGCTGGTTGTGGCAGTCATGGTAGTGTTGATTTGGAGCTCCGATGTTCGAATGGCAGGTTAAACGGCGTGTCAGTTTTCTTTGTTTTTCCGGTTTTTAAAACACACGATATTAAATAGTTTAATCACCACGTTTATTGTTTTGGTATTCTCAGTTGTGATGGCTTCCTTTTTATCTACATCTGCTACGAGAAGTTCAAGACAAAAGGATAAAATTTATTTAATTGGTTTTGTGACCCACCAAATTACTGGTGGCAAATTACCATCAAATCGTCAAGTGTTACGTAGTTTGTTTTATAACATCCGTGAAGTAAAGCTGAATATAAAAGGTGCGGCTAGGTTAACGATAAAAAAAGTTTTTATTTTCTGGGAGAAAGCAAGGATACAAACAAAACATTTGAAAGACTCTGTTGCTAAGCTAGAAAAACTTCATGAAGAATGGAGAAAACTACAAAAAAATTCTAACAGAACTGGACCAGCTCAGACAGAGAAAGAAAAACTTTTTAAGGCCATACTTGATGACCTATTTGACATAGCTCATCAAGATGCACTCCAGACTGCAACAGAGGAAGACAAATTGTTTTTGCTTAAGCAGAGAGAAAAGGGGTGCCCAGGTGTCATGGGAGGAGTTGATTTAAAGTGTGTAAAAGCTGAAGAGCGTTGGCAAAAAAGAAATGCTTCGGAAATGACGAGGTTAACAAAATTTAGGACAAGTTCAGGTGAATTAATTTAAAGTAGATTGTTATTCTTGTTTAATTATAATGATGTGTTTTATATTTTAGAATTAGAAGAGCTTAAATCGTTAGGCAGCAGCACGTCAGATGAAGATGAAATTGAAGATAATGATCAACGCACAGAGAAGGTAGATATGGTGACACTAAATTATGGGCCTGAAAAAAAGATGAAAAAATACACTAGAGGTACTGAAGAAATTGTTAATGAAAAGTTATTTCTAATATTGGATAGGTGTGCTATTTCAGATAGAGACGCAGCTAGAATAATATCAGCTACAATTGAATCTCTTAGCCATGATTCTCAGCAATATATTGTAAGTAGGAGTGTCATCCGCTTGCGCCGGCAAGAATTTAGAAAATAAAGAGCAAAACTCATTCAACAAAGATTTACAAATTCAGAATTAGAAGGAGCAGTTGTACATTGGGGTGGGAAATTACTTCCAGATATGTTAAATAAAGAAAATGTTGAAAGAGTTGCAGTCTTAATTAGCTGTGGAGAAGAAGAACAGTTAATTGGAGTTCCCCTATTAGAAAATGGTGCTGGCAGTACAATTGCAAAATCTGTTTATTCAGAACTTGGAAAGTGGGGTGCACTAGACAAGATTCAAGCAATGTCCTTTGACACAACTGCCGTGAATACTGGCCGCATTAAAGGCGCTTGCGTTTTATTAGAGCAATTGATGGAGAAAAAATTATTGTATCTTCCATGTCGCCACCAAATTTTGGAGGTAGTGTTGAGATCAGTTTTTGATGCTGCATTGGGAAAGACTACAGGCCCTCAATCGGATATTTTCAAAAAATTTAAAACTGAATGGAACAGCATTGATAAAAAAAAATTTAAATCAGGAGTTAAAGATAAAAGTGTAGCCAGCAAATTGATTAATCCGGATCAAATTTCAAGTTATCTTCTAAAACAATTAACAGTTCATCATTCAAGGAGCGATTACAAAGAATTGATTAGTCTTTGTCTTATATTTTTAAAACGCTTTCCGTCAGAAAACATCGTGTTTGCGGCTCCTGGTGCTTTTCATCACGCAAGGTGGATGGCGAAAGCGATATATTCATTGAAAATATACCTTTTTAGAGAACAGTTTCAACTGACAAATTTTGAAAAGCAAGGATTCCATGATATTTGTCTATTTATTATAAATATTTATGTGAAAGTTGGTTGGATGCCCCGAAATCTGCACTTGCTCCAAACCAAGATTTACAATTGTTAAAATCTTTGGTAAATTACAATAAAGTAAATAAATTTATCTCAGATAAATCAGTTTCAAAATTTTTCAACCACTTATGGTACCTCAATCCAGAGCAGGCTGTTTTTTCATTATTCGATGATTCATTAAATAATTGTGTAAAAAAGAGAATGGCAACAAAATTAATATCTCAAGCAAATGAAGAACTTGATGACTACTGTGATATGAAACCACGAATAAAATTAAATGAAGTATCAGAGATATTAGACAAAAATGTGGACCATTTTATTTCATCACAATCAATCAATTTTTTAAAAAGATTTAATATTAATGATCAATTTTTGCATACCAATCCAGAATTATGGAGTAATAACGAAAAATATTTGAAGAGTAAAAAGATTGTGGACGGATTAAAAGTTACAAATGATACAGCAAAGAGGGGTGTTAAATTAATAACAGATTACAACTCATGTATTACAAAAGATGAAGAACAAAAACAATATCTTTTGCAGTTAATTGCTGAATGTCGGACAAAATTTCCTGGTTTCTCAAAAGCCTCCTTATCCGAGCCTCTACCTTTTGAACAAACAATGAGTTAAAGTAGGAATTTGTTTGATGTATTACAACTATAAACAATATAATATGATTAAAAAATAAGTTTATTTGTTAATAATAATGATTTAGATACAACGGTGTTATTTTAAAAACATTTCTTCATAAACAAACTAAGTTTTTGTGTGTTTTTGTGTTATAGTGAAATTCAACGTTTTTTCAATGTGTATCTGTAACATTGCAAATATGTCAGAAACTATAATTTGTAGCTAAATAGTGATCATAGTAACATTTGAAGAAAACAAATCAATGAACAAAATAAAATTTAAATCATGTTTCTAGAGTGAACCGTTTTTATTTTACAAACAAAAAACTGCGTTTTTTTCTAAATTTTCCAATTTTTCGAAATTTCAAGCTCGATTAGGCACGGGTTAGCATTATCCAATTGAGCTAAAACTTTACAAATGTCATTTTTTAGTCAAGTGGCACAATTTAGGGGGTTCCCCCGATAAGATTTCGAAATTTTTTTTTTTACATATAGCGTTGTAACCACCCTAATGCATATAGTACTATTTCGACTACCTATTCTCGTCAGTGCAACATTATAATAAATTTTACATTTTTAAAGTTTTTAAAATTTCAAAATTTTTAAAGTTTTAAAATTACTAAATTATATATCCTATATATATCCTTTTTACAAAGAATTTAATATTAACACTTTTATAATTTTAATATTTTATAATTTTTTTTGGGGGGGCAATTGCCCCCCCCTGCCTCCCCCCAAATGACGCCTCTGCTTTACACTTGAATTTAATTTAACAATCAACCACACATATGAGATATGACAGCATCATCTTGTCTTTTGTCGGATGTCAGATCCATGGATATAATGGATATGCCATAAAAATTAATTTATTACAAAAATTGTTTTTTGTTCTATGGATCAAGCATTGTCGTTGTCTTCTTCAGTGTCTTTGATTAATCGTCTGATCTGAAATTATCGCTTGCGAAGTTTTTGTCTCGTTTGCTGTTTTAAATTCGATTTCGTATTGCATTTTATACTCTATTTAGTACATTTAAAAAAATAAGGGGGTTAGTATAATTTTCTGCATTTTTACATTTCGTTTTATACTTTTTTTACATTCCTCACATACATAGGTAGTTAAGTACACATGACATGACATTGAGATTAAACTATTAGGGAATCTTAGTTCTTAACTTGTCAAAATAATATTAAAAACAATAATACATTTATAATTAGAAAATATTTGCTTAGTATTTGATTAGACAGATACAGATTCTCAACCAAATCAAAGTGCCTGTGTGTTCCATTACAAAATGCCACTCATCTTATTTAAATGAAAATGTTACTTTACACAGGTTAATTTAATTTAGACTATACTATACATACACTATACTATACTATAAAGTATAACACTATACAATATAATTATAATAATCAGCAAACAAATATATATAAAAATATAATATAATAGTAATAAATAATATTAGTAACATTATAAATGCATTAAATGGTAATGTTAACTCAAAGATGTATAAATAATTTGTGCTGATATTAATTAAGTTAAATTTAAATTCAGGCTGCCAAGGAATAATATTAAGAGATTCAATGGGAAAACCTCATTAAAAAATACATTGACAATTACGATGAAAAAAAAGATTTTAATTTGTAGCAAACATTTTACACCGGAAAGTTGGTTTGAAAAGTTGGTTTGAAAATTTTACTTCAAAAAGATGCTTTTCCAGCAATATTTGACAAGGTTTTATTATATAAAAACCAATGATTTCAAGTTTCAGTTGTATAATTTAAATGTTTTTAAAGTTATAATTTTGAAATTAAGATATTGTTGTCAGGATAATTTTTCTGAAGTGTTCTTTATTTATGTTATGACTTATTATATACCCATAATAAACTTATTTTAATTTTTTAAGTTTGTAACCAATAATCTGGTTCTATCATAATTTAAACATTTTGTATTTTTAGCCTTCTTCAGATTTAAAGTTAGTTTCCGATAATATTTGTGCAACGTTAATAACTGATGTGAAGTCAAGTGTAAATTTGGTTCGTCTTTTTATATCTATATATTATTAAGATTGTGTTACATTTTAAGCCACCAAGTATAACAAATTTCAGTTTTTATTAAATATTTTTAAAAATTTGCTTTGCATTAAGTTTTGTTATATTTATATTAAAACATAAGAAGCTAGTTTATGTTTTATGTATAAGATAGAAACATAATTAAACATTTGTCTTGTCGTTCTGCTCGGAGTTATCACCTCAAAGATATTAATTAGATGCCTTGCAAATAATAACATATATTCAAAAACGTCCAGTATTAATAAAACTTTAATAATTTAACATTACAGTTACCCTCAACATCATCGCGGCCAGTTGAAAAACCATCGACATCTGCTGTTAAATTGGTTTGTATGTTTGACAGATTATAAAATAATATACGTAACAAATAAAATTTATTAAACTTTCTGCAACTCTCAAATATAAATAGTTATCTAAAGAAATTTTTATATGGTTTACATTCATTGATGCGTCTATTTAAAAAGCTGAATTGTCATTTCAAAAATTACTTTATGAAATTTTTGGAATATATACTTGAAATCTTGAAATGTAGCAGACTGGTATTGATGCTTTGACGCCGAGAAGTTTGAAAAGGAAAGCTAATCAATTAAGTACGACATTGACTAAAACAAGGAATGTGTTATACAGCTGCAATATAAGAATAAAGAGATATAAATTAAATGTTCAGGCATTTAAAGAAAAAATCAAAAAAAAAAAAATTTAAAGAAATCAATGATGAACTGAACTCAAGATTGGTTGTAAATTCCTGTAAGAAAATTTTATAAATTAGAAACTATTTTACACTATACATTTTTTGTTGAAATTGTATTATTGCTTCCAACCCAAAAAATTTATTCTAACGCACAAATTCAGTCAGGATGATCTGGAGTTGTTCTTCAACTTTATCAGAAGTGCAGGTTTAAAAATATATAAAATAATTTTTAAAACGCTTTAACTTCGTATATTATAATTTGACTTAAGAAAATGCAATGACAATCCCAACGTACAACTGTTGGAAACCATCTTTAAACGAGTTTATTTCAGATGTGGGTATGTCTCTGGGAAAACCGGTTATTCAAAAATTAAAAATGCATACCTTTTAGAAGATATTTTATGTTTATCATTATTTAATTTTTCAGGCAATGTACAGGAACAATTAAAGAAGATTCTGAATTTAAAATACCCAAAGAACAATTTCAACATATTTTTGAGGAAGTTATTTTAGAACTGGAGTTTCTAAATCAAAACACAATGTCAACCATTATCGATAATGCAGTGGCATATATTGCTGGATGGGTGGTTCGAAAAGTAACCCAGATGATAGATTGTAATCAATGCTGGCTAGCACTTGTTGAAACAAAAAGTAGAGTCGCCATGTTTTACCATCAGCTATTTATATTAAAGGACGACGGTGGTTTGGTTTTTCCTTCCTGTGGTGTCGTCAAGGTTATTAAAATAATTGATTTATAAAAACTTTTGCTTCATGCTTTTTCTATATATTCATCATAAAACAGTTTACAAGAAAACATATATTACAATTGAATAACAATAGGAACAATGCATTAACAATCATTAACAACATTGCCAATAACAGACGGCTACCAATAAACTATTCCTAACGTTTAATAAACAGATTTGTCATGTAATAGAGAGGCAATTGAAAATGGAAACCGAGCAACGTAAAATGAATACTGAATCGGTAGTTTCAAATGTTTTTAAAAGGTTGGCCAATGAAGATTTATTAAATCTCAAAGAATATATATCACAGATACATTTAATGGATTAAATAATCATTATTTTTGTTTACTTAGACTTATTGCAAAAACATATATAAATGTACGTTCATTTCATTCTGCAAAAACCACAAATCAAATAAAGATCCGTTCTAAATCTCATAAGTAAATACATTTCAAGGGACAATAAAATCATTTATCAATGAAAAGATTTATCAACCATTTGTAAATTTTGAATTGTTTGATTTACTTAGCAATCATATTTGTTTCATATATATATTAAACATTCTTTTGCTATCTGTTGGTAAAATCTGTATTTTCTATTTGGTCATTATGTTTTCATAAAACCCGTCACTCTAACATCTTCATTATTTTATATTTCATTTATTTTTTATTTACGAAATCATTATTTTCAACATACTTTAACATACTTCAATCATATTTCATTTCTAATTGAGTTTTCACATTTGATTCATTTAATTGAAACAATAATGCATCAATATTATTTCAATTCTTCATTGTTTTGGAATTTGTTTTTTCATTCAAAACATTAAACAATTGGCCTTCAATTTTTTATTCCTTTCATAAATAGTTTTTGAAATTATGCTGACGACAAAAAATTTTTAATATTGTAAATGTAAATTAAACCCCATTAATGAAAAATGTTCATTATACCTTTTTATATATTCATCAACTAACAAAATTATTTTCAAGACCTTCTTTACCTAACATGTATGCCTATATATGCAATCATTTAATGTTATCAAATTTTTGATTTCAATTTAAACATGCATTTTTTTAAATCTCTTTATAATTTTAAGTATTTTTTCTGCAAGAGTTTATTGTTGCATTCTCATCTGCATTGATCTACATCATAATTTTACCGCAGCAATATATTAACTAGATTCAAGTCATCATTATATCAACTTTTTTCTTTTCAGAATGTAAACTTAACGAATTAAGTGATGGATGCAACGAATTAGTCTGAAGGACCACATCAAATCTACCGAAATCTTGCGTCGTGCTGGTTTAGATGATATAAAGGACGAATGCCGGCAACACCGTCTGCGGTGGTTTGGTCATGTCAAACGAAGTGGAAACAGTGCCATAACTTCTCTTGCAGATGTTGAAGTACCTGGCACACGTCCCAAAGGCCGTCCAAAGAAGTCCTGGTCGCAAACAATCGAGCAAGACATGAAAGCTCTAAATTTAAATGAAATGGATACAACTGATCGTCTAATTTGGCGCAAAAAGTTGATGGCAAAGAGAACAACGTCCTACCTCGGGAAACCGGGTCTCTGGACGCAAAACGAAGATTGATTGATTGAATGTAAACTTAACAGTTTTAACCCTTTCCTTACATTATTTGTCAGTTTTAATAATTCATTTTTTTTATCTAATTCATTTTTTCATACAAAATATAACTTTTTTTGAGATAAACTCTAGATAATGCTATATCAATTAGAAGTTTCTATGGAAAAAAATATCATTTCATTTAAAATTTTTAATAAAATATTTTTAAACATTTGTCTCTTAGTTGCTATTGACTTACGTAAATGATTTGCACTTAAATATAAAACTCCTTATTTTAATCGCTAGAAGTAAATTATTAAAAATACATTTAAAAAATTTATTTAAATATTACTTATTTTATCACTGATTAAATGTAGAATTAACACAATTTGCTAAAAACAGTCCATTCCATATTCATGGCATCAGATTAGTCATTAATTTACTCTGGTTTTTATCAATAACTAGAAATTATTAAAATTGAAAGCAGACATTTTTCCATTTTTTTATATATACAATTGCAAATTCAAGAGACGACATGAAAGTTAATAAAATTTGTTTCAGCTTCAAATGATTTATTATCCAAAAAAGGTACTCAAATGTATGAGTCAGCTATTGTTATTACAGTAATTATGAGCAGTCATACATTTGGTATACATTCTCATGAATTTACATGTCCCGTTTATAACAATAATAAAATAAAAAGTAAAGACAAATTAATATGATTGTGATCGATTATCAGAATATCCATTGCAGAACAGAGTGAGGGATGACAGTGCAACTTGTAATTTTGGAAATTAGTATCAAAAAAGCCCAACGCAACTGAAACACACCAGTAACGTTAGCAATCTAACATTACCAACTTATATTGCTAGTTTTTTAAAGCGAAATTCTTATTTGGTAATAACTCAACTACGGAAGATATGACGATAATCGAAAACTAGACGATATTCTAACATAGATAAAAAGCTAAATGTTTTTTAAAATTAATTTTTCATTGACGTTTTTGGTTCTATGGATCAAGATTTTTTGCAAAAATTTATTTTAACCGATGTATGAATATATATATATATATACATATGAGACTTGCCATCATGGAATTATATAATGCTTGCCATATCCATTATATATATCCATGGATTAATCAAAGACGCTGACGAAGACAATGACGATGCTTGATCCATAAAACAAAAAAACAATTTTTGTTATAAATTAATTTTTATGCCATATCCATTATATCCATGATTCCGACAGCCTTCACCCGCAAAATAATCCTGGCAACGGCCTTGATTAGCAATTAGTATTATATTGCACGATAGGAATTGAACCTACGCAGATGGTCACCCACAACTATCAACGATAATTTAAGTGAACGAATTTGGGTTTGATTTCGATTATTAATTAATTAAACGGCCTCACAAATATTACCGCTCTTGGCCTCAAAAGCCCAAAGAACGCCACTGTTGAGGACTTTTCTATCCTTTACCGCTTCTGTAATGGAATTTAAAACCACTCAAAAATGCGTTTATCTTGCAGCCATTGTGAAAAAATGTGTTTATTATGCAAAAGTATGTCAAGAGAACAACTAATCAATGCGCCTAAAGTTAAAATTATGGGCCAATCCACGAATATAATCCACTATATAACGGTTATTGTAATCATGCACTATATAAGTTGAATTCCAACTGCCGTGTCTCGATAAACCTTTTGGCTTTGAGACGGTTGGCACCAGCAACATATTGTTTTTTTTTATCTCCATTTAAAGCTTGTTCGTCTTTCAAGAATGAAATGAATTTCCACAGAGGCGCCAACTTGTCCAAAATATTGGGGGGGCCCGGGTCATGGTCACCAAATAATATATTATACCATATGATTATACCGTTTCATTATAGTTATATATATATATATATATATATATATATATTTATATATGTTGGTAATAGACCATAATTTTTACAATATTCTATAAATTCTACCGAATGTTTGGCGTTAATATGTTTGTAGTTCGTTTTTTCGATTTTTCTCACTAAAGTTTTTTGGTGAACGTTTAGTTTATTAAAATTCAAAATAAACTTATTTTTCGAATTCATGCTGCAAATAAGGCCATATTTCGATTCCGAATGAATCATCGTCAGTGCTCCTTGTTGTATATAGGGAAATATTGACTTTGTCAAGATTAACTTTGACGTTGTAAAAATTAACTTTGGTGTTGTAAAATTGAACTTTGATGCGAATTAGGTGTCAGGTTTCTTTCTTAAAGAGCTGGTCATCTTCTTTGGTCTCCTTTTCTTCATCGATAGCATCATATTCTTCTTTGTCACTATTTACGATGCTAGTTTTTATTACTTCTTTGTTTTCGTTGTTGGTTAAGTGAGGTTGTCATTTTTTGTTGTATATTTATTTTTGGTTTATTGATGTCGATTAGGACTGCTTCTGCAATTTTAAGATGCGTGTAGTTGCTGTTCTGGTATATTACTTTGGTGTTGCTGTCGAGGATTTCACGGCTAATTGTGATTGAGTGTGTTGAGTCCAAATGAGATTTGATAGCACCACTCTGTTTATGCATCGTAAGCCTTCTAGTCAGTGAGGTAGTGTGTATATATATATATATATATATATATATATATATATATATATATATATATATATATATATATGTTGGTAGTTGGTATAGACCATAATTTTTACAATATTCTATAAATTTTACCGAATGTTTGGCGTTAATATGTTTGTAGTTCGTTTTTTCGATTTTTCTCACTAAAGTTTTTTGGTGAACGTTTAGTTTATTAAAATTCGAAATAAACTTATTTTCCAAATTCATGCTGCAAATAAGGCCATATTTCGTTTCCGAATGAATCATCATCAGTGCGGTCGGAAGTTTATATAGGGAAATATTGACTTTGCCAAAGTGAACTCAGATGGAAATTAGGTGTCAGGTTTCTTTATTGGCTGGCCAATCTTCGTTGGTTTTCTTTTCTTCATCGATAGCATCATATTCTTCTTTGTCACTATTTGTAAATAATATTTCCCTATATAAACTTCCGACCGCACTGATGATTCATTCGGAATCGAAATATGGCCTATATATATATTTATATATCTATCTATGTGTGTGTGTGTGTATATATGTTTCAAACATATATAAATATAGAAATTAGTGAAATAAAACATCCAAATGAAATTAAAACAATGCAAATGTTTTTAATCGTAAATCATTGTTAATTGTTTAACGTCAATTGACTCAGTTAGGGTACGGTAACAATGCAGTATCGCACTACGTGGTTCAGCCTCTCCTGTCCTATTGTGGATCGCAGATACGTTTTTAGACTGCTTAAGGCTGAGAAACTTCTCTCTGCTGTGCAAGTTGTTACAGGTGATGTCAAAAAAAGCATTAAACATTGAAAATTTCCAAAAACATTTTCCGCCTAGATAACATCTTGCATAATTTGGATTTCCTTTTGAATAACTACAACCATGGCAGATGAGGTCTTGAAACATTTTCAGATGTAGAATAAGACGATTTTTACTTGTATCATTTCCGTAATATTCTTAAAGCTTTGAAACTTTTACATCCTGATCCTGCAAATTTAAAGTACTTAGATCTGAGTTTTTAACGTTTTGTGCAATAAGAAATCCTTCGGACTTGAATCTTGTTTTCAGACGGCATCTACGGCTTGAATATAAAATCTTTTAAAATACTCCTTCGGATCAGAAAAAATATTTTAAAAGAAGGAGTTTATAAGGTTGTCCACCTTCGTCCATTTTTGGGGTCACGTCTTACGCACGCCAATGATGGTGCTTCTGTATTATTTTTTGCAGCTTTCAAAGTTACTTCATGCCAAAAGTCATTGAATTCTGTGTCTTATTTACTTAAATTATGGTATACAAATCTCAAGGACCAAATATGAAAATTGTATGTAAAGTTTAGAAAATATTTAAAATTATATCTAAAAAATATTCACTTTCTTTAACAAAATATCGAGGGGGCTCAGCATTGTGCGGGCCCAGGGAAATAAATATTGGGGGGCTCGAGTCCTTACAAGTCCCATAGAGTCGGCGCCTATGCGCTCTATGCTCACTTAACATTGAGCGCCACTCTTAACATGGCGCGGCGCAAGTTGAATAAATAAATAATTCATTCAAAATTCGTTTTCTCGGTAACTAGAAATGATACAATAATAAATTTGGTATTATTTTAATCAGCAAATTTTACTTTATAAGAAAAAATATAATTTATATACAAAAAATTTATTCACAATTAATTTATACCAACAAAGCTAAATTCAATGTGAGTAATGAATTCATTTACCTTAATACTTTTTGCAACAAACTTAGAAAAATCAATTGTAGTTTGTCGACGTTACATTTTAAACCAACCAAAAAATTATTTCAAATCTATTTTTAAAATGATTTTAAATTTTAGTCCGCTTATCAAACACACAATGAAAAGTTAATTAAATCAAAGATAGAAGAAAGATAGCAAAGATACTTCACTATTTTTGCTTAAATTACGGTATACAAATCTCAAGAACTAAATATGAAAATTAGCATGGAAAGTTTAAAAAATATTTAAAATTATATCTAAAAAAATATTAAATTTCTATGACAAAATATTGGGGGGGGCGCGAGTCCCTCCAAGCCCCATGGAGTCGGTGCCTATAAATTTCCATATTGTTGGATGGCTAGTTCTAATTAACTTACTAAAGGCTCTGTGCCACCCTTCGCAAGCCGTTGAAAGTAGCATTGTAGCAGTTCCACAGGTCGTATGCAAAACGTAGAGGTCTGCGTTGTTGACGCCGATTAGATCTTCCAATCCAAGTGTTCTCAAAATAGTCTAAAACAAGTTGAGCTTTCTCTGGAAAATCTTCCGATAGTTGTTCAAAACTTTCTATAATGTCATTTGGGTGAAAAAAGCTAACGACGAAATCATTCGTGAAATTGAGGGTGAATTCCGGATCATTTTCATACCTTTAAGAAAAAGCGCATAATTAATAATAATATTAATAATAAATAATAATAATATAATGCATATTTATAAATGTAAAAACAATTTTCTTGCTTTTTATATAGAAAATTCAAATTTTTGAAAAAACGGGATTTATTTGATATGTTTGTGCTTATGTTGAAGGCCGTTTGCTTGAACGTTTTGCCACAGGCATTGACCGAAATTGAAACAGCATTCTTTCTGTTGTGATTCGGGAAATACATTTCGAAAACCTTTAATAGCGGCTGTTTCAAAATCAGTTGTAATTGAGGTTGGACCTAAAATGGGCATTTATTCTGTTTTCGATGACAATAAAGCAAACACAGTCGGAATAACGCGATCGTTGTAGATTCCATGAAAAGCGTACAATTGATGAAACATATTTAAAAGTTCCATCCGCGTACCAATTTTCAGAGTGTGAAAGAAGCTACATATTTCGCTGAATTGAGAAAATGAGAATTCGGTTAGGACCATCATTGCTATCAAACATAAGGAATTGACCATCATTGTGTGTAATTTGATAGTTATTAAGGATGACGAAGTCTACCAAAAAATTTGGATTCAGTGGTGCATAAGTGCGGAAATATTTGTCATTTGGCCAGATGCCGTCTGTAAAAGGCCATTAAAAGAATTGGTGATAATTCGTCGAAGAACATCCTGCGTTTCTCTGACATCATTTTTTATTTGATTCGCAACCTTAACAACTTCGACCCGAGCAGCATTTCCTGCGTGGTTATGTTTACCGACTCTCTTTACAATTTCGTCATTACGAGTATGCAAACGTGCGAGACATACAAGATTTTTATATTGATCCCATTTCCAGTAATTTTTAGCTTCCGTAGTCACTTCTTTTACGTCAATAAATTTTTTTTTTACTTTTTCACTATGCACGAATTCTAGTGGCATTTTTCAAGTTTTAGCAAAAATTAGCAAATCGTGATGCAAAAAACTACTTTCTCATTTCTGACACACTTCACATACAGTATTTTATTTTATAATTTCGCCGCCAGTATATATTTTAGTGATGGTACGATTATCGAAAGTTCGATTCGATTTCAATAATCGAAATCGAATTGATATTTTGAAATCGAACCATCCCTAATATATTTGCAGCATCGTAAATAAACTTGACTATCTTACATTTTTAACTTATAAAAATATCACTATCCACTATGAATTTTCCCTCACGATGAATTTTCCCCCATGATGAATTTTCCCACGATGAATTTTCCAGCATGACTTTTTCTCCACGATGAATTTTCCCCCACAATGAGTTTTTCGTAAACCCAATAACACATAGGGGCGCGTATACAAGTTTTGCTCAACCTGTCAATAAACCTAAGGCTGGCGCTGGTGAGCATATATGTAGAATAAATAAGGTAAGTGCCTCGGTAGTGCCCGCAAACAGTTTTTTGTTCAACGATACACGTTTTGTCTTCAGTGTTTTCATTACTATTGGTGTTATTAGTATAATGGAAGATGATGTCAGTGTATGGATTATTATACTGTGGGCTGTTAAGTTGTTGTAATTTATTTATAATTATTTCTTCAATCATTGCTGTGCAGTATCCATTGTTCACCAAGAGATTCGTGATTCTTTTCAATTCTACATCGCGTTTTTCGGTTGGTGATGGTGAGTTAAGGCTCGGATGACGAATGCTTTTGTTGTACTGATTTTAAACTGCTCAGTGCATTCACTTTTTCTATTGAGACAAATGCCTTTATTTGTAGTTTTTACAATCAATCAATCAATCGATCAATCGAGTTAAGGCTCGGATGACGAATGCTTTTGTTGTACTGATTTTAAACTGCTCAGTGCATTCACTTTTTCTATTGAGACAAATGCCTTTATTTGTAGTTTTTACAATAAATCAATCAATCAATCAATCAATCAATCAATCAATCAATCAATCAATCAATCAATCAATCAATCAATCAATCAATCAATCAATCAATCAATCAATCAATCAATCAATCAATCAATCAATCAATCAATCAATCAATCAATCAATCAATCAATCAATCAATCAATCAATCAATCAATCAATCAATCAATCAATCAATCAATCAATCAATCAATCAATCAATCAATCAATCAATCAATCAATCAATCAATCAATCAATCGAATTAGTTTGTAAAGCGCTATTTCCGCGATGTTTAACAGCGCTCCTCAGTGAATATTGCAAACGGATGGGTCTTGAGATCCGCTCTGAACTTTGTAAGTGATGAAGAAGTAGTGAGAAAAGGAGTTAGAGAGTTCCATAGAAAAGGGCCAGAAAAAGCAAAAACAGATTTAACTAAAGAGTGCTTAACGCGAGTTAAGAAGAAGTGAGAACAAGAAGACGATCGTAACCTATAGATTACTTAAATGTACCTCTATTTTATTTACATCAAATGCACGATAATTACTAAATTGACGAATCACAACTTAAACGTTCATAAAACTAACATTTAACTAACATTTCGATTCCTAACAACAATAGTCGGTTAAAATTAATAATTTATTATAATACTAACAGGACATCTAATTTAGCAATTAAGAACAACATTCGACCATCAAATAAACTAGAGAAGACGAACCTCCTGTACCAATTCGATTGTCCATGCCACGCAAAGTTGTGGAGAGTTACATCGGTCAGACTTCTCTCTAGAAGACTAACTATGCATACACAAGATGGAGCCATTAAAGAACATATTGAACACGTATTTTAGATTTATTTAGTCAGTTTACGTAAACATGTTTTTATTTATTTTAATATTTTAATTTAATTAATTTTTCATTTTTATTTGGATTTCGTGAGTTTCGGATACTGCAACGTAGAACCGATTTTTTTCAGTCTGTTTTTATTTATGGATTGAAATTGTAGAATACCCTTAACGTCGAATTAAAGCAAGTCGATAAAATATCTAAATTTAAAAAATTTATATTGGACCTATTAAAAAAACAATCATTTTGTCAATTAACTATTTTATTAACTATTTTAACTTTTATTGGTTTTTGTTCAACAAATTTAATAAGTTTTTTAATTTTTTTATTATTATGCAAAAACGTTTGTCATTATTATTTATGGATTAATTAATTTTTCGTTTAATTTTCAATTTTGTTAGTAATTTTGCCTAGATTGGACGTTAATTGTAATTTTCTCTATTTTATGTTAATTTTTAATTCATGTTAATTTTTAATTTCGTTTTATTGCTTGATTGATGAGGATTTTCATGGTGGCCTTGTAAGCTTTTGCGCTTCCGGTCTCCTTAATAAATAAATTGAATTGAATTTCTTCCGACATTGTAGGACGCAAATAATTTTTAACGCGCTTTAAACAAGAAAATGATCGCTCGGCCGAACAGATTGTAGCAGGAGTGCATGTGTATGTCCAAAGCGCATGCAATTTCTACATTTTAATATACACACTGCAACTCATTCACTTTTATTTTATCCATTTATATAGATCAATTAGAGTGTTTACAACTGAATTTTGGTCTAAGAAGGCCAAATAAGACTTTAAAGTACACCAATTCATCGTTAGGAAATAAGGAACTAACTTATTTTCTGCATCATTTCTTTCTTCAAATTGATCTGCACTGACCGCCGATCTAAAAAAAAACTCATTGATTTTCTTCGTACTTTCCAAATCCGTTTTGGTTTTAAATTTGACTTTCCTCAATTTTGCATTTTGGCTCCCACTTAATCTTTTTCCGCCATAACTCTCTGTTATTATCTTTTTCAAAAACACAAATATGGCGTTGACATAACAAGATGGCGAGATTTTTAAAAAATTAGGTCCATCTAATTTAATTGAATGATTGGAATTAGATGATCGGTTTATCAGAACGAACGGCAATCTTCATTCGATTTTAAAGTATATGCTCTATTGTATATTGTATAAAGTATTTCTAAGTATGTATGTGCTATATTGTCGAAAATTTAAAATCACACTTTCCGCGAGCTTTCCATATTCTTGTGAAAACCTCATGAAAGTGTAAGCGATCGGGCTTTTTCACGCTTTATAATTCAAATGCCGATAATGGGTTTTAAAATATGTTTTGGAAGAACCGTCATATTTCAAAATCTTGGCGAGTTTTATTTTATTTCGTATGTTTTTTTAATTAAAGTTCCAACAAAATTTAGAAAGTTAGTAAATCATCAATTCTAATTCGACAACGAATTGATTGATTGATATCAATCAAATTATTATTATAATATTTATTATTCTATTATATTGTGATTGTCAATGATATAATAATAAAATATCCATACAAAATGCAAAACAATATATATTATATATATATGTATATATATATTATATAATATTGATTTGAGTTGTTGATACTTTCAACATTGAAAAGTAAAATAAAATAATTTAAACTTCCTTCTCTGACCAGTCATTTCATTTAGGCAATTATTCAACAGTTGCTATTATATCAATATTAAATGTTAAAAAAAGGTTAAACGTTAAAAGTCTATTACACTCTTCATAAGTTACACTCTTCTCTTGTTATATTTGAATTGAACTCATTACCTCACTGAGAAACAGCATCAGGCATCCTTTATCACTTAGGCCATCATGCCACCCTTGAATAATTATATTTTTAAATATCATTATTGAATAATCAATAATGAGAATTTGCAAAACATGAAATGGAAATAAAATAGCAATCATTATTTGCATTAGTCTTAGTTGCTCGTGTTAGTTGCTCATTACTTATTACTAGATTACTATTTATTTTTTATTTCATGATTTGAAAATTTTGGAAAGGCAATCTCAATTTTATTATTCATCAATGGGATTTTATGATATAATCATAAAAAGTTTTGTATTTAATGCGTTTATATTTTATTTTATGGTAATTAATAATACCAAGGATGACAACCACAACATTTTCAAGTCTATTATGGTATCTTCTGGTCCCAGGATGAACAAATGTGTGGACCTAAAAGATATATTTTAATTAGAATACAGGCAAAATTGTGGTTTTCATTCCTTTCTTGGGTAAAACTACTATGGGTTCTAAAATAAAATGAACAAATAAATAAATAAACATTATTTTATTTCAGTAAACTCTCACTTGCTTGATTTTTTTACAGCGGTCTTATTAAAATTGTTCATGAGTTTAGGGCCAAGTCAAGTCAATGGATATCTAAATCAACGCTCTAAAAACCTTTTGGTCCTTTGAACCAATTTTGAACTTGTACGCATGAATCAGAACACCATCAGACGATTTGCATAAGAACACACACTTATGTTATTTAAAATGAAAATTGTTATGTCAAGTGCGATGATTGAGCTTGCTTCTTTTCATCAATTCCTCAAAGTGCAGTTAAAATGAGGACAGTGTCATTCATAGTGGCAGGCAAACATCCAAAGAGTTTCTGTGGTTAGTCTCAAACAGTCATGCATGAGAATCTGATTTTACATAAATAAATAGAAAAAAATAGAAAAGACTTGTTATTGCTTTGTCAGTAAACTTAGGTATTCTGACTTAATGTTGATTCAGAAAGTAGCAAATGAAGATGTGTTCTCAAACCGCATGTTCAGCCCTTGGTCAGGGGCTAATTGCTGAAGATTATTTTCCTATTTAGAAGTCATATTATCTTTAATTTCAACGGAAACGGTGCAAACGAACAAATGATTTTAATTATAAATGTTTTTTTTATATTAATTTTAAAAAATTAATAAATTACAAAATGATTTGTTCAAATCAGTCCAAAACAAAATTCATGCATATATTACAATTTTATACTTTTTTGCTGTTCCTAGGTGTTGCGACCATGCGCTTAAATGTTCATCTCAATAGAAATATTTAATTTGTGATAGATCTTCGTTTGGGCACTAATTTTGTTACTCAACTTACATTGTACATTATTCAATCGTTTTTTGAACAGCTGACTATGTCCTTGTACATA